CAGGAGTTTCACTCAAACCCCAAAAATTTCACCTTTAACTTCCTTGGTCATTGTGTGTGGGCAGGTTCCAAAGGCTCAGAGCATCCTGATATCCTCCACCTAAAACCAATACATTCCTGTAGTTCCCACAAGTCTTACATTTAAGTTTCAAGCATTGGCAAAGCCCAGGCTTAAGTAACAGAAACAACGGTTGAAACCTGCGCTGCTAACCAGAAACGCTCCTTTGAACCATGGCAAAAAGCATTCATGTTTTTCTCAGAGACGTGGGCCAGGAAGAGATCCGGGTTAAAACCAAGCCATCAAGAGGTAGAAAAATCCTAGTTTTAAACAAGCCGTTCCCTGGCAGAGCTGCCTCCTGCAGCCACAGCCCTGCTGGTGCTGGCACAAGCGCCAGGGCTGGAGGTGGGTTGATGACAGCACTTAGATGCAGAGGATGCAATGGTACTGCTGGTTTGATCTACAATTTATCAGTGCTGATGGCCAGAAGACACCTCAAAGATCCATTTCATAGAATCACAGAATCCCAGACTGGTTTGGGCTGGAAGGCACCTTAAAGCTCAGCCAGTTCCAACCCCCTGCCATGGGCAGGGACACCTTCCACTAGACCAGGTTGCTCCAAGCCCTGCCCAACCTGGCCTTGAACACTGCCAAGGATGGGGTATTTTCAACCCAGGCTGGGCTGGGGCTAAATATGCTCTTTGGTCCTACCAAAGGCATGAAGGATCATTTCAGAATCTACCAGTCTAAGTTCTTTTACAGTCAGTTTGGTATGTCATCTTGGTGGAAGCCTTGCGAAATCTCTTCAAACAGTCAGGAACTGTAATTGCTTCACTGCAGTGAAGAGTTCATGTGAGAGAACATATGTTCCAAGGTTTATGTCTCAGTCCCAACATGCCTTTTGCTATGAGGTCTACAGGAAGGAAAATAACAGAATGAAGGAGCATGAGTAGCCTCCACAGTCAAACACGTTTTAATACAATCCAAGATTGTGCATAGTGACAAAAATACCATTGACATAGGGCAGCAATTCCAATAAAAGGGTGGAAAATCAATTAGGTAGCACACCTCCACTCATCTGAAGACAAACATCACCCCAAATACTATGCACACTCATCTCAACTATAAAGAGTCTGAAACTCATGACAGGCAGAAAGGCATCTCACCATTAACAGCCAGGTACCCAGGCCTCTGACCTACCTAACAACCGCACCCCGGGAGTGGGTCGCAGGAGCCAGCACTCAGTCCTCACTGAATATGGCACCACTGTCTATGGTGACTGTCTCTGGTGGGCAAAGGAACTCACTCTCCATCAAAAACGAGGATGGATGCACACACAACACACCCCCCCCCCCCCACACGTCTTATCTCCACG